TTTATTTTTTATTTTTTTTATTTTTTTTGTAGAGTTATGGACTACAACGAAAACGAATCTACCTAGAACAGTTTTATAGAATTCTATGTATAATGTTTCCAATTCTCAAAGTTTTAATTTTCCGTAGGGTCTATTATCTTATAAGCCTTTATAAGAAAAATGCCAGGTGTAGTATACTTTTTTCTGTTCTTTTTTTTTTTTTTCTTAAAATGAGTCTTGTTGTGCACCGAATTCTTTTCATACTCTAATGGTAGCTTTCGGCTTGCTTCTGTAAGACAGAATCACATTTGTAATGCAATAATTGTGGTTTACCTTTACCATTTGTACAGTGCTGACATTATTCTTTGATAGTTCTGTTGCTTCCCTTTGTCTTGAAGGCTTAAAAAGTAATATTTAGAGCAAAAGACAGTTGGAAAAAGTCACCCTCTTTTACCACTTTGTATGAAGAAGTTTGTTCAATAACATTGAAAAGATTGCAACTGTACAAACATTTCCGGACCGATCACGACCCAATTAGTTATGAGATGTAAAGACTACTAATACCAAGTACTATGGATAGTGGAGATTTCAACTTTTGAAACACGTGAAGCTGCATCTTAGAAGCTTTCATTTACGCAAATTACGATGTGCCTTCGCCAACTGTAAAACACTGTAGAAGCTTAAGGGTAATGAGATATTAAATAAATTATATTTTTGAGAAGTGAACAAAATTTGAATAGATTTTTTTGAAACTGTCTCATTTGAACCGTAAATACCATGAATAAAGCTGTGAATATAGAAAGTAAGAAAGTTATCAGCAAAAAAAAAAAATTGTATTTTGAAATTGACACCGTAAAACAATGCTTGAATGTTTCTCAGATATACGAAATATGCAGTGGAAATTTTGTTCAGATTTGATAAACCCGATATTGTATTTCATGATTACAATATCATGATAAGAAGACTGGCTAAAATGGATTGCAAGAAAAATAATCATGTTCGTGTTATTAGTATTGATGCAACAGATGCTTCAATTACAGATTCTGGTTGTCGCCATTTCAGTATGTTTATTTGGCACCAGCACTTTAATAAAAAAAAAAAAGCTCATAGAATAAGAGTTATTTAAAAAGAGTATGGAAAACTCTTGCAAAATTATGAATGTCGAAGTCTTTTTTAGCACAATGAGTAATGGGCTCTATCTTCTAACATATCTCTCTAATGCTTTACTAATAGTATAATTTTTTCATGTGATTTGCTGAGTGCAGTTCGTTGTGTTATGCATGCAAATTTGCGGAATATTTGTTGAATTTAGTTGGATTGACGTCGTTAAATGATGTCAAGTTTGTTCGATGTACGCAGTTGGGGAATAAAGGACTGTTTTTATTAAAGGAAGGTGTAGTGAATAACTTGCAGCGCTTACATATTGAAAGTTGTCCAAGGATTACAATTGCTGGTCTACAACTAATTGGTGATTTTAGGTAATTAAATTATACATATCATCTTGATAAACTTCGCCATCTAAACTAAATGACTTTTTTTTGGATAGATTAAGGTTAAGTTTAATGTTTCGAGGTATTTGGTTTTATTTCAGAAAACTTCGGGCTTTAACACTGCGTGATCTTTATGGATTGAACAGTCAAGCCGAATTCTTGAAGTTATTACAGAAACAGATGCCCAGTTGTAAAATCACATATTTGGACGGTGATAATACTCAATGAATTTGAACAACGGTTTGCTGAAACCTGTTGAACTAGTTCAATTTTTTATCGTTAAAAACTGTTTTACCTTTATAGCAGAAAATTCAAGAATCTAGTTGTTTGTCAATTACATTCGTCAATTTTTTATTTTATTGTTACACTTATTTTTGTTATAGTTGTAAAAGTTCAAAATGTCAGCAAACATTGTGGACTATGAAACTGTGAAAAATAGTCAAAACGGCTTCAAACTTTCAAACTTTGACTTTTGTCAATTTTTGAATGACTCCTCAATGCTTATCATTTAATTTTAAGTTAAACAGGTTTTTAAACCTATAATACTGTTGCTTGGTACTGATGTAAATTATTCTGTTGATAATGAGAGGAAGCAATTCTATGCTGTTTGAAAAATTAAAATGATAACAAAAATTGAGAAGACGCAGCAATACTGTTAAACGGACGCAGGTCCTTATCCAGTTTAGAAAACTCAGTACAATTTACTTAGATTTGCATTTCGATATTTACTGTGCCAACCAGTGAATGTAGAAGATGCAAAAAGAATTCTCAAGATTTTTTTCTCAAAATTTGGGTTAGCCAAATCTCTTTAGCGGCTACGCAAAAAAAAAAAATGTTTTGTTAGCACACTTTTTAATGATTCTTATCAAGTTTTCAAAAGTAAGTTGCTAAAGCCAAGCATAACTTTAAATAGTATTTAACTGGATACTTTGGGTTATTTGCATGAACAGCTCATTTTTGGTCGATATTTATCGGAAGTGATTGAAAGGTTGTAAAATGTGCATAAGGCGAACAGATCATCTGGATCGTTGCTGAATCTAGCTACTGGCTGTTTTATTAATAAATTTGTCATGTAGACTCTGAGGCAAACAAAAAGCTAAGTAAAGAATGAAACCTTTGATACTTTACGGTTACTTTTTACTCGATGTACTATTCTAAAATCATTTTAACATGTTTCATTTAATAGAATTACAAGCAGCAAATGGACTAAAGGTTAATTTGATAAATAGCTGTTGTCAAACCAGTTGATCTGAGTTAAAAACTGCAGCTTTAATTGTTGGACTATGGAGTTCAAGAGAAATATCGCTTTTTTTATGTCAGACTTGTTGACGAGAAACTCTAAATTAACTAAACTACAGTTGACTTCAATTATTCTGAAGATACGAACACTAAGTTTTCAGTTACCATATAAGATTTCTGTGGATAACTGAAACCTACCCGGCAGTCATAACTGTAAGTCAGTAGAATGACGCCCGGTGGATAATCGATGTTTCTAAAGTCACTAATGCAATTTTAAATCTGTTTACTGTACTGGTGTTCTTGAATCATTAAGCTCAGCTGTAGATTTCAATCCACGATTTTTTTAAGCCTGTCAACGAATTGTTGGTTTTATTTAATTGAATACAACGATTAGTTGTGAAAGAGATGTGCAAAAGAAGGAAAAACTGTTATTGTTATTTATGTTGTATAGACCAATTTCTCCATATTATTTTCTTTCTTTTGTTGATTTTCTTACTTGTGTTTATATCTACTTTTCTGTGTATCACAGAAAAAAAATCACACTGACTTGTTATCAGACGACAAAAGCACTATTCCTGTGAACAGAAGTATAACTTAATGGTGGCAAACACGTAATATCTGCTTTTTTTTTTCACTTGTCTGGTATAATGCTAGATAATATTTCTTATAAGGTAGTGAAAGTGTTGCCAACTTAGCAATTCTCCAAAAAGTTTCACTGCCGTTTGGTCTATCTGCATTGACTTTTCAAAAGTTTTATGAATCCGTGACCGTCGGTAGCAATTGAAATTTCTATATAACTTCCTCTTCCATTACTAGTCCGTAAAAATTCGTCCAAAGCCATGAGAGTGTGTGTCCAAAAATGCAGTATTTGTCAAAAAAAAAATACAGCATATTTTGACAGTTGAAATTATAAATATAGAAGGTTGGAAACTGCATTATGCTGGCAGATAGAACATTTTATTCCGAGCCTATCGCCGAAGGTCTCATCGGCACAAAATGCAAGTTGCTTAGAACCTATCCAGTTTTTATAGCTAAAGCTCAATTTCCTCTCTCCAAGCAATTTCTAGAGAAACTAATCCTTCTTCAAGCAAATAATCTGGTCTAGCTTCATCGCTTTTCTACACCTCTGTTCAAAACCGCTTTTATCTTGGAGGTCGTGACGCCTGGAAAGAGGGTCATTTGCTTGAAAAGCTCTTGACTAAAAAAGGCAAGAAATTAACATGGTTAAAGAGAGCTACAATTCTGTAACGGTATTGATTTATTCAGGAATTTCATTCCTGAATATGAGGCTGTAGTCAATCAGATCTCCTGAGAATGAAGAGTCCTATTATGGCAGTTTAATTAAAAGTAATAAAGTGTTTGTTGTAGTTGTGTTTGACTACAAAACATTAATCAGAGGGGGTCTAAAAAACTTGTAAGAATAAAAAATTTGGAACGATGCCCGATTTCGCCAAGAAAACTGCCCCGTCTGCCTTCCAATTCCAGTTGTTGTTGGTTCCATAGTCTTTAAGTCGTGACTTTACCTACTCTATTATAAATCTACCTTAATAGAGTGCCTTCATAATAGAGGTTAGGCGGGCAATACGCAGTTACTCTTTCTGCATTAAACGGAAACTCATTAAAGGTTTTACTGTATCTGGAACTTCAAAATATCGTTTCTGGAGCAATAACGTATTTTTTCGGATGATGAAAGACCGTTTAGAAATTGTAGTTGAGATTGAACTGTTTGATCATTGTCTATATCACTTCAGATCTCTGCTTAAAACTCTATAGTCTTCACGTTTGCAAATATGACGGAAAATATGATTTTTTTTTTGTAGGTGTAGGCACCAGAGAGTAAAGAATTCTTCTGTTGTTGTAGAATCTACAGTTTAATAGGTGTCATAAGATATTTGTAAGGGACGGCCATGAAACCCTATGATGACAGTAACTGATTTCAAAAAAACATTTTTCTGGCGATGATTCTCCTGAAAGCAGACTGAAAGCACATTAGCGTTAAAAGTAGATCTGTAGATGGGTCGTCATGGATAAGGATAATCGCTGTGTATATCGCAATTATGGCAAACAGTTGGATAGTAAAATAGGTGGAAACGTAAAATTTAGATGTGTATATCTTTTGTTATTTATTCAAAATTGCTAAAGTTTCCTGTTTTCTTGTTACTGCGTTCTTTGTTGATTAAAACTTGACTGTTTAACCTAAAAACTGCGTTTTGACGGTTGGCGATCTTTTTAATGTAGTAAAATGACACAAGTTTTAGTTTGTGAAGCCGTTACCTGGAGGATTATTACAGAAGCACCTTTTACGTATAGGTAAGGATATGTTTAATTTTTTGAAGCTGTATTGTACCGGTGAAATTAGTGGAGATAGGTTTATGATAAGGGTTGTTTTGTGTAATTGCCAGTTAGCATTTAGACAGCACCTTCGTTGTGATCAAAACATTTTAGAACAAAATTTTTTATTAAGGGAGCAGTAGACTAAGTTAAGAAGTAGGAACTGTCTAAAAAATAGTTGACGATATTGTCATTACAAGTATGCAATTGTGGCAGTTGAACCTGGCATTGTAAATTTACGATAAATTGACTTCTCCTTTACTGGCTTTTCGTTGATATTGCTTCTTAGTTCAGCGGCCTAGTTTTTAACTGTGAGTGATGCGATGGCTTGTGACGCAGAAATTGATAAAGGCTCTTGGTTCGCATGACTTTCCTGGACTTCGACGTCTGTTGGACGCATTTAACCAGTAGGTGCATAAATTTCTGTGTTTAAAACTTTATTTTCTCTGGTTATCTGTTCTCATATTTTTGAAGTTGCTATACCATTCCCTTTTTTGGTTATAAACTGTTCTGGGGTATATGTTTGGTTTCACAGCTGTAGCTTATTTTAGTTACGATAAGGGACGGGTCCTTGAGGTTGGTCCGGATCGGGTTGCTGCAGAATGGATTGTTCGGTGCGAGGGGAAAGTCAAGTGTGTAATACCGCTTTTATGTTTGTATTTCTTAAAAAGATTTTACGGATATCGGTATTGCGAGGACGGCAGACATCTATCATTTAGGTTTGACAAGGTCCATACTGAGTTTAATGATTACAACAGTTTGATTAGGGAAACATCTAAACGGGATTACAGCAATCCTAACAACCATCTTTATGTTGTAAGTATTGACGCAACGGATGCTTCAATAACCAGCCATGGATGTCGTCATTTTGGTGAATTATTTTTTTTGAAGTATTTTTTCAGTGGTAAAATATAATTTTTGAAAAATAAAGCTTTTCAGTTTATTATATCTTCTTTTCTTTTTTTTTTCAATTTTTATACCTTTTATCAAAAAATTTTCCTGTATTTCAACAGTGAGTTTACTTTTGCTACTGATCTTGCTTTTTCTATTCTAGCTGGGCTGAATTCATTGGTCGATGTTCGGTTTGTTCGGTGTAAAAAATTGGATGATACCGGATTGTACTTTATCCAAAAAACTGTCGGAAGCAACCTGCAGTTTTTACAATTGGAGAGCTGTCCAAGAATCACCGACAATGGTTTAAAATATATATGCAGTTTTATGTACAATAAAAGTTTTTTCATTTTTTTTATTGGAGCTATTATTTAATAAGAGATTTCAATTGAAAAGTGGGGTAAGCGGAAGGGATTTGTTTCATTAGTATCAATGAAAAAAAACTAAAAATTTCTTTTTTGTTTCTTGTTCAATCTGCATCTACGCCTGCATACTTGAAAATTTTTTTAGTTTCATATTTTTTTTTAAGTGTTATAATTGGCATTCTTGTTTTACTCTTTACAAATAAAAAGTTGACATACTTATTTGCTCATTTTTCTTTTAGTTTATTTTGTTGTACCTGATTTCCTTTTTTCGTTGTTTATTCAGTTTTTTTGATTGCTTTTTAAAAATGTTTTTCAGAAATTTGCGGTCTTTAATTCTTCATGATTTGCCCGGTGTACAGGATTGTCGACAGTGTTATGAAAGAATAAAGCAGCATTTGCCTTGCTGCGACATATATTATCCAGATGTAGAAAAGAGGAACAATTAAAATTGTTTCAAGGTAAGGGTTACTTTATTTGTAGCTTAATTTCTGTATTATTTTGACAGATATGGGTAAAAAGCTTGTTAACTTTTACACTAGGATTTGTCACGTGGTTGGTAACTTCTAATTTTATTATTTCTGGAAGCTTTGTACTGTACGTGTCATTTGGACAGGAATTGGAGAGTTTATGGGAAAAGAAGGGAAAGGGTTTTCGATTCATTATCTGCAGCTGAAATGTTCGGCCGTATACCATATGATAGTGGTTATGATCTTTGCAGTGTGACGCGTAAATATCTATCATATATAGGAACATCAGCAACGGTTTTAAAGCAGTATAGTTATTTTAGCTGCTAGTTTGTTTTTGAAAGGTGAAAGTAAATGACTTTCTGAGCTCTCATTCTGTTCTGCCAGTATTTTATTTATCAAGCTCAAACGCTATGTTGTTTGCTTCGCAAACAATTTGTGTTATTTTGAGTGGTGAACGAAAACATAAAGCAGAAGCAAGATAAAATTATTTTGACAAGTTTTTTGTTCCGAAGTCTCTTTATGAAAAAAAATTTTTGAAAACAAGTTTTTGTTTCTTTGATGTCGCTTTTCTGTTGCACAAGTATGGTCATACGCCACTGTATCAATATTGATCAATTTGTGATAGGCATTCAGAATAACCACTAATTTTTTTGTATACGTATTTCTGAAAACAACATTAAACGTCAGCCTATAATTTTACTCTTATTGCCGTGTTGGTGTCTTCGGACAGAACTTCGTAGTATCACTTGTTATTGTTATCTGAAGGAACATAAGAATGATTCATAAATCAAGGCAACTCATTCATTTCTTTGTTTCCGTCAATATTTTGCTATTTTGGAAGCAAAAAAAAAGAAGAGTCCATTTGAGCAGATGGTAACGCGAAGAAATCACAAGGGAATGAAGGTACAAAGATTTTGTCGTTCTGGGAGGGGGGAAATGCTATAGGGTGCTAAAAAACGACAAATAGGAGCTTCTTCGTCGTTTTGGTGAGAGAGCTGACTCCCGGCTTACTTTTTATTTCTTCTGTTTAACCTGCATTGGAAAATGGATAACTCACTCGTGGTCGCCAGCGCCTTAGCTCTCTTCGTCTTAGTTTCAGCAGCAGATACTTCTTGCGGTTTTAGACTGGCCTACTGCTTCTTTGCCAATTGATTTACTAGGCACCATTTACTTTCAAACCCGCTTAAAATTAATTAAATTGGACGTTATCTTACCGCTTTAATTTCAAATAATAAATATTTGGGATCTGGTGCTAGAACCTAAATGTTTATTGTGGTTACGTCTGCTTTAATTGTGAGTTATAAAAAGTCTCGAAACTCTCCGGTCCTCTGATTTTGTTCAGGAAATAAACTGTGTGAAGGAGCTCCGCAGACGTCTTGATGTTAGCGAGCTATGGTACTGCGAAACACCGATGAGTAAAAATACTACTACTTTTTTGCTCCATTATGTGATAGGAATGAAGTGTAAAAAACAGAAGTTACAAAGATGATCTTTCTGTTGTTTTAAATTCTGCTTCTGAGCCAAATCTAGGAGTGATTCTGACCAGTATTTTGGCTGCTGAGCGCCATGGAGAAGGAGCGACGTGTTTCACAGAAATTTGCGAGTGCGCAAACGCATTTCGTTGGTAAACCGTGTTCAGTTTCTAACGAACAGCTCTCACGTTTTGTTTAGCTCAAAGTCTAACAAAACTGCTACGGTTTTCCAAGACTATTGATTATGACAAAAGAATTACGCATGAAAATAACATCCTTCTTTCTAGAGCATCAGCTAAACTTTGAGTCTGCGATTCTCGCTTGTACAACGAAAAATGTGATGAGGAAAGTTTTTCGTTAGTTCCCTAAGTGGGGCTATATCCGAGGTGTGTGAAAAACATTCAGCTTCTCATTCTTAGGCAAAAGCACACGCCTGACCTGGTGCGTGGTAATTCTAGTGTATATAATGGCAACAAAGGCAGTGGAGATCCGATATATATATATATATATATATATATATATA